GGAGGAGAACTACCAATGTGTCTCTTTCAAAACAGACAGAAGTTGATTTCTTTTTAATTTTGAAAAGATCTAGATCTAAAGCTGAATGGCTCCTGGTTACTGAGACAGCCTGATTGATGTTCTTCTGTAGAGGCATATTCCTATTTGTAAAGAGCTTTAGTTAGTGAACAGCTGGAAGGTGGAGTGAACAATATTAATGTCTAGCCAGAGCTGATTTATCACCTATCTCTAGATGTGAATGTTTCATGGACTACTGCCTATTCACTAAATGAAACCAACAGAGTTAGCTGTGAATTGTGAATAACATCATAATTGCTGTGGAAGTGTGTGCTTGCAAATAAAATCTATTTTGGCAGAACCGTTTGTTTAATATGTTTCTTATTTACTGATTAGTAAAGTTGCAAAATGGCAAAGATTCCTGAACCCAAACAAATGCTACAGGTACTATGGAGTTCTTATGGAGTTTTAGAAAATACAACCTGTTGCTTGACATACAAGGATGAAACATGCCACACTTCTTCCCCATGTTTCTTAAAGGTCTAAAAACTCCTGTTTTCATAAATTTGTCCCTCGCTCCCCTTGGATCCTGCAGTGTTTAAATCCAAGGGATAAATAGAAATTGACAACATATTTGAATCAGTTTTGAAAATATTTTGGAAGCTGAATTACATTTAAAAATCTTTTCATTTTGAGGCATACTGTTACCGTCTATTCCCATTTCTTTAAAAATCTAAACATCTGTCTACAAATTATCATTATATACCATATGACCGAATAAGGCAAATTAAGGAATGTAAGTTCTTTGTCAGACACTGGTCCAAAAACATTGCTGACAGTTTAATTCTAGTAGAAGTTGGAATCCCCTGAAAGGTTCTCTAACACCAGCTTAACCAATTATCAGCAGGCATGTTTCCATGAAGTCCTCGCCCATATGGCTGTGATGATGTGAGACATCTAACATTTGTTGTTTTTGTTATGAGGAATGGAGCCAAGTTATAATGTATTGACTGGAAAAGCTAGGATATGAGAAAACACATAATTGTTGCATTAGTTTAATATTTCCATAGAAGATGGAGAAGAACTTGTTAACCGCATTTGCACGTTAGGCCTGGATTGTGGTGTGGTATGTTCACTGTTCAGGTTTTCATCTTATTCTTTCACCTTTGTTATTTGTCCCTCTAACCTCAGTCAATCAGAATTCTTTGATCATTAAATGTGCTCAGTCATATCCTGTTACCCCCAAAATAAGACCCATTTAAGTGAAACCCCACCCTCTACCATTGTGCAGCAACCAGAAGAAGATGACATGACTGTATTTGAATAAATGTAGATTGCTGTACATGAAAAAAATAAAACATCCCCTGAAAATAAGCCCTATTGCCTTTTTGGAACAAAAATTAATATAAGACCCTAACTTATTTTGGGGGAAACAGGATTTATGAAAGGACAAGGTATAGAAAACTTTTAGGGAGACCAAAAACAAAAGACCATACTAAGGGTAATTGATACACTCTTTTGTTTTTGGTCTCCCTAAAATTTTTCCAAACCTTGTCCTTTCATAAATCTATTGCAGGGGAATGGTACTATCCTGGTTAAGGATTGGTGCTTAGAACTCAGTTTGTAGACCTTCCTTTACAGGCAGGCTTTTGAGCAATAAGGGCCGTGTGTGTTCTCAAGAAGTCTATATTTATGAAATTGAGAGATTGTGAAATGTTTCTAAAAATATTTTTTAATTGCTCTTAATTCTGGTTTTACTATTGACAAATGTTTAACTGTTTTAATATAGTTTTTAAAATAGTATTTTGACAACTGTGATAATTGTATAGTTTTAATTGTTGTGAGAAGCCTTGGGGAGAAAAGCAACATATAGATAAAATCAATCAATAAATATGGAATAAATAATACATTTAAAGAATGTAAGGCATTGTATTCTCAAAGCCTTTCACGGCCGGGATCTGATGGTTCTTGTAGGTTTTCTGGCCAAACAGCCCAAAAAACCTACAACAACCAATGTAAGGCATCTTACACCTATACAGAACACAGACAACACTATAATGTCATTAACATGTAATCTTAAAACAATAAACTATACAGTACAAGTAAACACATCCAAAACTCAAAGTTTAAGATAGGTATTGTTTTTATAAAAGGCAAAAATATTACAATGAATGGTATACTGTATTAGCAGCAGAATCTTATGCTTAACTCTTAAGAAATAAGCCCCACTGAATTTAGTGGGACTTATTCCTAGGATGCACTCTCACCTCGAGCAAACGTCTATTGATTCCTTTAAAACATGTACTGTATAGATTGCACTGTATCACAAGATATCAGGGCGTGTTACAGAGCCAATTTAAAAACATAAAAATCTTTAAAACAAGTTAAAACTAAACACTTTCAAACATGTTAAAACAATTGCATCAAAACCTGTGCAGGTGAAAATCCTCAACACATAAAGGTTCTAATGTTCCACAGTTGGGTACTACAAACCAGAAAGCCCGACCCCATACCTCCAGATAATGAACAATTTTCAATGGTGTCACATGGATGAAGGCCTCACCAGAAGATCTTAGTGACTGGGCAGGATTTCTATAGAGGCTCTCATTTAAATATCCAGGTCCCAAGCTGGATATCAACACCTTGGACTCAGACCAGTGCAAATCCTTCAGAATCAGTGTCATGTGGGCTGTGAAAGATGTTCCTATTAGAATTTTCACTACTACATACTGCTCTTGCTACAGCATTCATGTATTACCATGCAGAATGTATATGAATAGTCTAACAAGGAGATTACCAGGCCATGGACTACTACTGCCAGGTTATCCCTGTCAAGAAATGGTCATAGCTGACAGATATCTTTGTCCTCTGTTATCATTTTCCAGTCTTCATTGTGGAGCTGTGCCTCTATGTCTTTTGTTTGTCTTTTGCTACTCACATATCTGAATAATGCTTTTTTATTGCTTTTAGTGTCTCTAGCTAACCTCAGCTCATTCTCAGCTTTTGCTCACCTAATGCTGTCCCTGCATTTCCTTGCTACTGTACTTGTCTGTACTCACCATTGGTGGCCTTATTTCCACTTCCTGTACATGTCTTTTTTGTTTTTTTAGGTCCTCCCCGAGCTTTTTGTGAAGCCACACTGGCCTTTTTTGCCGACTCCCCCCCTTTTTTTCTTGTTGGAATTGTTTGTAGTTGCGCCTCTCCTCATCAGCAAAGAAGTCAAAGATTATCATAGTTGGGATTAAACAGGAGTGTAGCCCTCTCAGGTCGGCACTGAGCATGCTCAGTAGGTAAAGGATACTGTTGATTGCAGGGTGGAACAAAATGGAGTGGTTGGAACTCTGACAAGAAGTACTCCGTACTATAACATTTGGTTGCAGTTGTCTGCTTCTTTTTTAAAACATATTTATAGGTAAGCTGTAGAAAAGAGAGGAATTTTAATGGAAGAAGGAAATGTCATTCTGTAGTTCAATTAATTTCTTTCTAACCTTTCAGTAACATGGGTGACTTCACTTGAGAAAGATTGGAATAACTTTGATTCTAGTTTTAGTTATTATGTTTCAGCGGCTGGATAGCTCAGTGGTTTAGTTAGAGGCTGGGAGTGCATTTCCCCCAATATGCCTCCTGTCAGTAGGGCCATCCTGCATGGTCCTGGGCAAGCTGCACAGTCCCAAGATGCCCCCAGAAAAAGGGAATGGTAAACAACCTCTGAGTATTCGCTACCTGGAAAACCCTGAAAAAAGGATCTTCATCAAGCAGAATTGACTTGATGATTATGATTATGTTTCAGTAGTTTCCACATGGGCTGTTCTCCATTTAGACATCTCTAAAATGGCACATGGCTTGTGATAGAACACAAGCTTACAGCCTGTGTTGTTGTTTTGAACCTGGACTGGGGAAGTGAGCTATTCATAACACTCAAATTCCTCGGATCTTTTCCGTTCAAGTGAAACTAGGTGTTTCCATCAACTTTACCATAGCTTGTCAACAATGTTTCCTCTTCCATTGATCATACATTTATCAGGATTCACTAAAGAGGAACACATTTATCGCCCTGTTACAGTTATGTGGCCACCCTTCCGTGTGCACACCGGCCTAAACCCTCAACACGAAACTGATTTTTTTCAAAGCGACAACCCCACAAATAAGCTCCATTGAACTTGTATGGCTCACTTCTGAGTAGACACGCATAGAATCGCCGTGCAAAGTTCCAATTGTATGCATTTGTTTAGGAGAAAGTCATTCTGAAGAACGTCTGACTTTACTTCTGAGACGGCCTGACTAACGGAATATTCAATTAAAAAAACAACAACCCCACACAGGATCACACTCTTGGGGCGCCGCCGAAAGCCCCGCTGGACCCACTACGACGGGCTTCTAAGTAAGCGGAGAAGATCCGAGGAATTTAATGCCCCCATTCATGCAAAGTTTGGGGACGTCGAGTTTTCCCTGAAACAAGTCTACTCGGCAGTAACACTCCCGAGGGAAGAAGTGTGTGGGGGGGGAAGGAGAGAGAAATACTCCCTCTCGGTTGTATGGCGGATTTTCCGGCGAGCACCGTCCACTTTCTTCTTGCCACTTTCCCCCCTTCACTTCCTTTCAGTTCCTGCAGGGGTCGCTACTGCCTCACTCAGGCTCTGGTCTCTCCCCACCACTCGGTGGCGGGGTCCGCCGCCGCCACCAGAGACTAGTTGGCGCCATTTGGAAGGAGAGAGAAATACTCCCTCTCGGTTGTATGGCGGATTTTCCGGCGAGCACCGTCCACTTTCTTCTTGCCACTTTCCCCCCTTCACTTCCTTTCAGTTCCTGCAGGGGTCGCTACTGCCTCACTCAGGCTCTGGTCTCTCCCCACCACTCGGTGGCGGGGTCCGCCGCCGCCACCAGAGACTAGTTGGCGCCATTTTGAAGCCGACAGAAAGAGGGGCGGGAGGGGGGGGAAGCTTTCGCGGCGATCTGCGCCACACAGACACGGGGGAGAGAGAGAGAGGAGCCGTAAAGGCTGCAGCCCGCCCGCCCGCTCGCCCGAGCCACGGGAAGGTAAGAGAAAAGGCTCCCTCGCTCTTCCCTGGCAATTCCGCTCATCCCGAGACTCCTCCACAGAGTCTCGTTGCTTTCTCTCGGTTGTTCAAGGCAGGCGGAAAACCGAAAGGCGGCCGGTAGAGGGAGGGTAGAGGATGCCGGCCCCACAGCTTTCCCACCTCCTCCTTTTCCCCTTCACGCCCCGCCATCCCTCGCTGGCCTCGGCCGTCCTTTGCATGTTGAACTTGCCGCCCTTTCCTCCGCCGGGTGGCTGCGAGCCTTCGCCTGGTTTGCGGGGCTGTTTGGGCGCTGGAGACGGCGGGCGACCGGGTGGCGACGGGTGACCTTGCCTGAATCGCCTTTCCCCCCCCCCTTTCAGTTATATAAATATATACTGTATATGTATAGAAAGAGATTGCCCTCTCTTGCTTCCCCGAGTCCCCCCTTTTCAGTCAGCGAGAGAGGAGGAGGAGGAGCAGCGGCAGAAGGAAGGAGGGAAAGGAAGGCGCTTGCCTCAAATGTGGCGCTTCAGGGATCCGGCTTCCTTCTTTCCACCCGCCTGCCTGCCTGCCTGCCTGCCTGCCTTACCCGCCCCTCGAGCCGCTTTCCTCATTCGAGACTTGGAAAGGGGTTTTTTCAAAGCCCCCGAGGCTTGTGCCGCTCGCCTTCCCCAGTTGGCCTAGTCTATCCTCCCTCGCCGAAGTCGCCTGCCCCAGCCCGTTCCTCCTGCCCTTGGCGGGGCCTGCTGGAGATGGGGAGGAAGAGGGAGGAAGAAGGGGTGGTGGTGGGGGGGAAGGAACTCCCCGACTCCCCCCCTCTCACATTTTTATACTCTCTTTCAACTTGCCTGGTGTCGGAGGCGGCCACGGCTCTCTCCGGTCGCGGAAAGAGTGGGGAAAGAGGGCGGGCGGGGGCGGGGCGCCGGGGCTGATCGCCCTCCACCGCGAGCAAGAACCAAAAACCGGGCTCCTTCTGCTGGGGCAGTTGCCTTGGCTTCCCTGAAATACGAAGAGCAAGGCCCCTCGCACTTCTCTGCCAGTGCACTGGTCATTACTTGTGATACGTTGGTTTTACTTTGGGACTGAGCTTCTAGGCTCCAGCGACCTCCCAGCTGGAATGTCTCACACCGCCTGCCCCTAGGATACTTCCAACTTCGGGCCCTGCCTCCTGTTAGAGGGTGGAGAAGAGCAAAGGGATGGTTTACGGAAATAATAAAGATCACTCCTGCATGGATGTGTCTTCTTTAGAGCTTGTCCAGTTCTTGGTGGTGGTGGTGGGGCTGGGGCTGGGGTTGAGTTTCACAATGGAGACATATTACTGTGTTGTGGGTTTAATGTATTGGTGGAAGAGTCTGCTTTTATGTTCTTGTATACTTTTCTTCTTCTGTGTGTAGGCATCCATCAGTCTCGAAAGACTATGGTAACATGCTCTGCGACTAGTTGTATTTACTGCTGCATTAGGATGGGTAATATCAGCCAAGATGCATGGTGGTGAGGATGTAGTAGTAGAACGTCTTAGGTTTACCCTTCCAGTGTACATAGCTCAGCAACTTTGGTCTCTGGTTGCAGAGCCAGAGGTTGGGCATTCAATTCCCCACTGTGGTTCCTTGAGAGGGGCCGGACTTGATCCATAGGATCCCTTCCAGTTCTGCAGTCCAAAGGTGTTTGCAGTGGTGGTGGTGGTGGTATACCTAGTTACAGATTTTACATTATTGAAAGCTGTACATGCATAGATGCTTTATATGTACATGCAGTCTGAGACATGCATTGTGTACATGTGTGGGACTTGTGCACAAGGTAAATTCTACATATGGAGATAAATGTTTGTAATTAGAATCTCATTTCATGTGTTCAGTTTAGATTTCAGTACAGGTTAGTACCTTTTACTACTATTTATAGATGGCTGTAAAATTCGTGATTTCAGCAGAAATGTAAATGTTGCTGAGCGTTTGACTGATAATAAAGTAGAATTGAATGCACAATTGTCATATTTTAATTATTAAGGTTTTTGCAGTGTTTTCAGTTTTCCATATAGGCTTATAAATAAACATTGCTTATACACCATTTATGTTCAGTAATCCCCTTTCATGATTATATAGGATAGGTGGTTAGCCTTTGGCTGTCTTTTCCCCCCTCCCCTCACCTAGTTGGAAAATTCATGGGGAGGATGGTTACAGCAAGGACTGTTGTGTTAGTCTGACAAGGAAAATACAACAGAAGTCGCCTCCTTTGTGAGTTGCACCAGGTACCTACTATATCTTTTTAGTGCTGGTTAAAACTCTTATTATTTTCACAAGTCTCTTATTTAACTCTTGATGGGTATATGGTAGTGTGCATTTCTGGCCTTTTTTGCTCTTTTTATTGCTCCCAACTTTTATGCTGTTCGCTTTTAATTGGTTGCATTTGCTTTAAAGTCTTTTTTAACGTGTGTCTGTTATCCGAGTAGTTTAAGATCCTAGTCCTTGGCCAGTACTCTATTCATTGTATGCTAGAAGGTTTCCAGAACTCATTAGCACAAGGAGGTACTAGGTACCTGTTTACTCAAACTTCAGGAAGGGCCTTCTGCTCATGCAGTAGAGCATTCAAGGAAGAGGAAGGTAAGACCCCATCCTATCTGGGGCATGGATGCAGAGATAGAATTGAAGGGTGGTGGTGTTGTATTTCTAACTTTATCAGTAAAGTCAACGTATGTGTAATTTGCAATGGTGTATACATTTTATGATAGCTCAGTGGTTTAGGTACTGTATATGACTGCAGAGCTAGAGGTTGGGACTTTGATCCATAGAGTCTCTTCCAGTTCTGCAGTTCTAAGATGATGATGGTGATGATTTTAATGCATTGGGGCACATACAGTGTAAAAAGACCAGTTTTTCTTGTATTACTCATTTCATTCTCAGCCCCTTGCAACTCCATCTGCTTGAGAGGGTCTTCTAACTCTTCAGGGACAGATTGCGATATGTGTAGGCAGGGGGCTACAGAGGAACGAGGAGTTTACAGTAGTGCCCAATTCTGCTGAAAGAAGGACACTGCTGGATTCAGCCCATACTGTCCACAAAACGAAAACTATATTGTGCTTAAACTACACTAAGGCCTCCTAAGTAAATGCTGAAGAGTCAAAAGGCTGGGTTCCTTTGAAAGGATATTTTTTCTTGTAACTGAGAAAGTTATCAGCTCTGCAATTTTATGCATTTAGATGAAAAATATACAGACATCTGAAGTCAGTGATGGTTGTTGAAACTTCATTCACATTTGTAACTGCTGTATCATTAGAATCCTCAAAATCTATAAAGTGGATAACATGTTTATAGAAACTGCTTCTACAGGTAATTTGCACTATCTTAAAAAGTACTGAAGAGATTCAAATGGCAATAAGATTGTCCTATTTTTTCTGAAAATCTAAAAATTCATATTAAAAATATGTTCTAAGAGGATTGTTGATATTTTGCTGTCCATGTTGAGTTTTCT